TGGATGTCAATTGATTCGTATTGTGAATACACACTGTCATTTCAGAAAGTGTGAATGTAACATATGTTCTTTGTGGTATTATACTTTCTCAGTAATGTGCCGATTCTAGTACTTTTTTGTTAGATTGAGTTCCATGCGGGCTTCGAACCCACACTCTTGAAGTCAGGCACCTAATCAGCACACAAAGTCAGCCATCTAACCCACTCAGCCTTCCTTGGAAGATGCGGTGGCTGAGTGGTGAAATGACTGTCATCGTCTCCATGTTGAATTCTGTTCAATACCAAGCAGGTTGAATATCAGTTAGTATCAAATTAGGTTGAATGACATTTGTTATCCCACAGTTGCACAAAGTAGTCAACCCGTGAAGATCCGGGGTAGAATAGGTCTTCAGCAACCCATGCTTGCCAAAAGGCGACTATGCTTGTCGGAAGAGGCGACTGACGGGATCGGGTGGTCAGGCTCGCTGACTTGGTTGACACATGTCATCGGTTCCCAATTGCGCAGATCGATGCTCATGCTGTTGATCACTGGATTGTCTGGTCCAGACTCGATTATTTACAGACCGCCGCCATATAGCTGGAATATTGCTGAGTGCGGCGTAAAACTAAACTCACTCACTCACTCACTCACAAAGTAGTCCATGGATGAATGTTATCAGGTTTCGATTAGGTTGAATGTCATCCTGTCTCAATGTTGAATGTCAACAGTATCAAGCAGGTTGAATATCAGTTAGTATCAAATAGGTTGATTATCATGTTGTATCCTTCAGGATTGAGTGCAACTGAAGCAGTCTTGTAAGCAATTGAATACCGTCAAGTTGACTTTCAATAAGCAGACAGCGGGTTTAATATCATTAAATATATATACAACTTAAGATCTTTACGCCTTAAAGGGCGAGAGTATTTTAATACTCATTCAGGAGATATCAGAAAGTGTTTGATTCCTTATTCATCTCCTTAAAGCAGTTTTGACAGGGTAACTGCTTTTGATGAAACATTAATGTATATACGTGGGAGCATTGTACTTTCGACACTTTGCCACGGAATCATTAATATTTGATTAAGGACATTGATATTAACAACAACTTTGGTAGACGATACATATAGATAAACATCCGGTATCAGATGACTCGCAGAGTCCTACATGCCTTGCTATTCACTAGTACTGGCTGCGGTTACACTTGTCTAATCTTGTAGTTAATACCTTGAGTAGAACGGAGACACTGCCTTGCTATTCACAAGTACCGTCTGCGGTTACACTTGTCTAATCTTGTAGTTAATAACTTGAGTAGAACGGAGACACTGTATTAACGTCAACAGGGCGTGGTTGGCGGGACCTAGAATGAAGAGAAAGACAAGACATTTATCAAATGAAATTTTCTAATGAAAGTTTGTTTTTTCCAAGTGACTTAGGGTCGCTCTAAATAAACGCTCATCAGAGACAGTTGGTATTTCAACCATACAGGAAAATATATAGACTGGTTGTTGTACACACGGGTGTGTATTAGCTCATCAATACCCATCGCCTTCACCAATACAGTAGAAAATAAAGTCTTGGTCTTGTATACACGCGTGTGCATTAGCCCATCAATACCCATCGCCTTCACCAATACAGTAGAAAATGTAGACTGGGTCTTGTACACGTGTGTGCATTAGCCCATCAATACCCTTGCCTTCACCAATACAGTAGAGTATATAGTCTGGTTCTTGTACACACGCGTGTGCATTAGCTCATCAATACCCCCTTTGCCTTCACCAATACAGTAGCCTTCACCAAAATATAGACTGGGTCTTGTACACACGTGTGTGCATTAGCTCATCAATACCCCTTGCCTTTACCAATACAGTAGAATATGTAGACTGGTTCTTGTACACACGTGTGAATTAGCCCATCAATACCCCTTTGCCTTCACCAATACAGTAGAATATGTAGACTGGTTCTTGTACACACGTGTGTGCATTAGCTCATCAATACCCCTTGCCTTCACCAATACAGTAGAATATATAGTCTGGGTCTTGTATACACTCGTGTGCATTAGCTCCATCAATATTCTCCCCATAGAATATTATATTTGCCTTCACCAATACAGTAGAAAATATAGTCTGGGTCTTGTACACACGTGTGTGCATTAAGCTCATCAATACCTGCTTTGCCTTCACCAATACAGTAGAAAATATAGACTGGGTCTTGTGCTGCGCAGGGGCATAGGGAGCTCATAAATACATACCCACCAATACAGTGTACCCCTTCTGTCTGGCCCACTTGTCGCAATATCTTGTACACCACGCGTGTGTATTAGCTCATAAATACCTCATTTGCCTTCAAGGTTTGAAAGTAGATTTGGGTATATTTTCCTCAATTTGACGACTTCAATAATAAATAGAATATTATATTCGTGCCCATATCATACTATGTTTACGACACTCACAAGAGAGAAGTGTGCTCTCTCGGTATATCCCTCGCTCTGCTCGGGAAATACCAACATTTAGGCACTCGTGTCGTAAACATAGTAATTTCTATCACCAACTGGCCATTAATAATTTTAACTGGTACAAGTGCTAATTTATCTATAAACACTCATAATATCCTCTATTCATTGCCTAGTTCTTGGTTCCAAATTTGCCTTAACAGGCCTACCAAAGCTTTCACCACTGTGCAGAAAAACGCAGAAAAGCCCACATTAATCGTGGAAATAGCAACATAAACATAATACCTCGCTACTGAAACAGTGAAAACGGCAACTTTAACTCGCTAACACTGCATCCCACGTTTTGAATAGAAACGTTGGAAGCCTGACAATAATAAATCTATCATACGCGAATCTCTCAAGAAAAAATATATAGTTGATGAGCATGTCCTCATACATTCACTTTGTAGTTGCTTTAACACCATGAGAAATAGAAGATGAAAATAAGCGCCCTTTGCCCTCTACTGGCGTTTTTCCTGTACTTGGTATACACATCATATCCATGGATATCCACATCAACCAACCAATCAATCAACCAAGGCGTAAATGGATTGGAACAGCTCTCATTTACCTTTAGTTAGCTGTTTGTCGTACCACTCAATTTTCTCAAGTTTTCGTAATGTGACAATTTCCTAAGTATTTCTGTTGTGTTATTTGGCATTTATCATCATGATACTTGTAAGCACACTTGTTTAGTTTATTTTCCATTATATGAAACGATTGACATTGGATTCACGGCTGCTCGGAAATTGGAAAGAACAGCAGCCAAAGTGGGATGTCAATTGATTGGAACAGCAACCAAGATGTCAATTGATTGGAACAGCAACAAGATCAATCAACCAACCAACCAACCAACCAACCAACCAATCAATCCAACCAAATCAATAAATCAATCAATCAATCAGCCAAGGCGTAAATTGATTGGAACAGCAGCCAAGATGTCAATTGATTGGAACAGCAATAAGGGTGTCACTTGATTGGAAGAACAACCGGGTTGTCAATTGTCTAGAGCAGCGACCAGGGTGTCAGTTGATTGTAACAGCAACCAGGGTGTCAATTGATTGGAAGAACAACCATGGCGTTGATTGATTTGAGTAGCAGCCAGGGTGTCAACTGATTGGAACAGTAACCAGGATGTCAGTTGATTAGAACAGCAGCGAGGGTGTCAATTGGTTGAAACAGCAGCGAGGGTGTCAGTTGATTGGAACAGCAACCAGTGTGTCAATTGATTGGAACAGCAACCAGGGCGTCAATTGATTGGAACAGCAGCAAAGGTGTCAATTGATTGGAACAGCAGCCATGGTGTCAGTTGATTGGAACAGTAGCCATGGTGTCAATTGATTAGAACAACAACTAGGATGTCAAGTGTCTGGAAGAGCAGCCAGAGTGTCAATTGATTGGAACCGCAGCCAGGGTGTTAACTGATTGAAGGAGCGACCAGGGTGTTAATTGATTAGACATCAACCAGGATGTCAAGTGTTTGTGCTTGAAACCAATGTATTAAAAGATTCAGCTCGCAACCGGGAGGTTTGTATATAACATTGGCGTTAATGGTTTGTACATGAAGCGGAGCATTAATTCATTGCAAAAGTAACTGCGATGTAAATTGCCCTGCTTGTAGCCAGCAAAGCAATGGTTTGTACATGTAACCAGGGTATAACACAATACATTTATCAGGTTGTTAGTTATTCATAGACAAGGAGCATATCTCGAGCATATGCATACGATGATGTTGTAAGAAGGCACCCGCAGTAAAGTATGTCTTCTTTCAAACATAACCTAAAGTAATGAGAAGAATCAATGTGTTGACATTTTCATTATCCCAGGGGTTATACTGTACATATACCCTACAGTCGTCGCTGCATCCGGCATATACCGGCGATCAGTATTGATTCCCTTCTTGTGAGTCTCACAGCGTCTTAAGAGTAAAGGCATTTGATTGAGGGTGGAATGACTGGGTAGCTGTCTGTCTGAGTGCTGTATCTCTTGGGCACATACAGTCTATTAATATAGACGGAGGCTCATGTTTAGTTGGTGTCGAGAAACAGAGAGTCCCCGTGGCAAGTCAGAGCTTGATGTCCAGGGTGGATAAGTGTTTTAGATTCGTGTTAGTCTGCTGTACAAGTCGACAGGAGCAATTCACTGATAGGATTCTGTTGGTGTAATGGTGTTTTTAACAGACAATGTTGAAGATGGACTTTCAGTTCTAGAGTGCATGAGTGGTTAAATATATCGTGGTGCCTATATGACCACTGGAAGCCTGGGATGAATGTTGTCACATCACTACGGTGTAACTAGAACCAATCCAGGAAAATGACAGAATCCAGTAAGAGTGGCAAGGCAGGCGCCAAGTCGAATGCTGCACCGTCTATTGTTAAACTCAATATTGGGGGAAAGAAGTTTGAAACATTGTCGTTGACTCTCAAGAAGTTTCCTGGGACCCGTTTGGCGTCACTTCACCCCCAGGCTGACGAGTATAACGGGGAGACAGGGGAGTACTTTTTGACAGGGATCCAGTGGCGTTTGGGTGTATCCTAAATCTATACCGCACATCGTCTCTCCACTTTCCTGACCATCTCTGTGGCAACTACCTTCGCGAGGAACTCAACTTTTGGCGAATCCCAGAGAGTCTGGTTAGCGAATGCTGCTGGACAGTTTTTTTCAACGCCGAACAGGACAATCAGATATTCCGAAACCTCAAGAAGACCTTTTCCTTCCTTGACAAGGACCCGCAACTGAATGAATCGGGAAAGAATGGCATGGAGCTTTGGATGCACCGAATATGGCTCCTCTTGGACAAGCCTAACTCTTCTCGTGCAGCGAAGGTAGGTTCTAGCTTTATAACGATTTAATTGGGTTATTTCTTTGGAATATCCAAGACAACAAATATGAGGGGCACTAGTTCCGCTTCAATCCATCATGAATTCCATATGGAGGTTTATAGGAATGCCGTACTATGGTTAACCTTTTGAACGTTTACCCACCAGATCTTCTGCAGAGCTATTACTTACTTATAACCTTAGATATTCTTATCTCAACTTATGGTTCATTAATAAGCTATTTTATCTTCACTGAAAAAATATCATGAGCTCGTATTCAGAGACGCCGGATTCACCACGAATAATATATCACCACAAATATGTTTGCAAGACATTTGAACATATGTTCATGCACTGTGTTTAATAATTCATCGTTACTGACCAAAAGCACAAGAAAGATCCCAATGAAACAGAACCTTACCGGGTCTTTTTGAAAAGGTTATATTTAGTACCTTCGTTGCATTTGTAGCCAGATTGTCGATCACAGTTTTGGTTAAAGGCTTTAATACTTTGAACAGTCATGTAAGCTTAACGTTGGGGAAAGGCCCTACGTGGTGCAGCTCTTAGAGGTCAAGAAGTAATGGTGATCCCGTTAGTTTTCACAGCCTCTTTGACACACCTGGGGAAGGTAACCAAATTGGAATGCGATGGCATGGCAACCGGTTCCATTTGCATGATACCATCTGTGTCAGTCTCACCGTTTCTTACCATTAATGCGTTTCAAGGATAGGTTGGACTAACGCTTGTATGTATTTCCTTGACTTGGCGCTGAGGTATGTGTGATTCAAAACTCTTCCAACGTTTGTTTCTGGTGTTTGTAGAAAGAGGGAACGTTGTTACCTTGTGTGCATCGACAAAACCCTCCTTGGTCTCCTTTTAACAAATGTAAAGAAAACAAACATTCTCTGAAATAGCTGAGACTATCGTGACCGACGGAAGGACTCATATAATGACAGTATTGTTTCAAATAAATAAGGGGCAGTGGGGTAGACTCGTGGATTATTAAAGCCTTCAATCGTCACGCCTGAAAATACGGATTCGATTCCCTACATAGGCACAGTGCGTGAAGCCCATTTCGGGGGTCCCCCGTCGTGATATTGCTGAAATATTGCTAAAGCGGTGTAAAACTAAACTCATTCATTCAAATAAATACAGAAGGGCAATAGGCAATTGAAATTGTCAGTGCAAGTTTGTTTCATGAATTAATAGCGACAAAATCTCTAATAAAAGGGTCGATAGTTAAATTCCAAGTAAATCACGACCATGTGTTTATGAATCATTTTCAAATACATGGATGAAAAGTTGGGGGTATCCTGCCCTACTGTTGGTACCCTTAACAAACACATGCAAATTCAAGGCAATCGTTGACCTGGGAAAAGTGAGTGAGTTTAGTTTTACCTCGTACTCAGCAATATTCCAGCTATATGGCGGCGGTCTGTAAATAATCGAGTCTGGACCAGACAATCCAGGGATCAACAGCATGAGCATCAATCTTCGCAATTTGGAGACGATGACATGTGTCAACCAGGTCAACCTGCCTGACCACCCGATCCCGTATGTCGCCTCTTACGACAAGCATGGGTTATTGAAGATCAGTTCTAACCCGGACCTTCACGGGTCCCTGGTAAAAGAAGAAACGTATAATTTATGTCACTGATGCATCGAATTTAGATATATCCTCCACATGTCTTCTACTACCATTAAACGTTTAAATGTTGTATTATTTAAAACACTATTTCAGTGAATAATATCCCTAGATGCACCGAGAACTAGCTCATTTTCACACAGCAAAGTAAGACTATTAGACAATATATTGACAAACTTTATGGATAACAATTTCTTTTATGTCTTGAGTGGCACTTACGAAATAAAAGATGTTATACATAAAGTTTGTCAATATTGTACTTCACAACTTCTAAAATGCCACTCTAAGACGTTGTTAGACATCGTCTGAAAAGAGACATAGAGGAAAGTTTCAATTTAAGGTTATAACAAATTTGTATTCCCTTCTTAGTGATAACTTTCTTAAGTGAATTCTATTATGGTATATCTCAAATATCGATTTTGTTAATATATATTGGTTTCCCATATGTATTCTCATCAGTTTTCACAACTGGGTTAGAACTTGTTTTCAGCAACCAGCGCAAGCCACGCTTGTCGTAAGAGGCGACTAACGGGATCAGGTGTGAGACTCGCAGATATGGGCGGTGCATGATTTTGTATTCCATTTGCGTAGATCGATGATCACGATGTCCATCACTGGATTGGTTGGTTCATACTGCTGTCATATAGCTGGGAAACTGCTGTAAGTGCGGCGTTGAACAACAAACAAAACAAACAGTTCATACCAGTTTTTAACGTTATCAGTGAGTGAGGTTGTTTTATGCTCCTCATTTCCCAGCATGTAGGTACGTGAAAATGAATGTGATGTTTTGGGTGTTTTGTTTATTGTATAAAAGCACACTTAACAATAATTGAGATTTGAAACGGGATATGTCAGTTATCTTGTTTGAGCCAGACAATCCAGGGATTGATGTCATGAGCATCGATATACGCTGTTGTCTACGTGCAGACAAAGTCAAACGTGGATTTCAACTGGGCCCTATTAATACACTGGTAACGGTACATAAAGCATTCGTGATCAGGTTTCCTTTAAAATACCACAGAAAAGAGATCGATTACCTATTATTCATTTACCTTCTAGTGCTTCACAGGCAGCTTGGGTTATCCGGGGTAATAATAATCAGATTCTTTGGGCGCGTCGTGCATGGAGAAATGCGTGTGATAAATGGACTATTAAGTTTTAGAGATTAAAGATGAAAATGCAGCAGAGAGGGTTCGGGTGATCCTGGCACAGTCAGGCTGGTAAGGTTCATCATCAGCTCAGGGCCCTTGTCCCCTCTACACGCAGCCCAGACAGCGAATGGGACTTCTCCCAGGAAACACTGCCTAGTCGAGCCCACCACGAACTTTCCGGAGAATATGAAGATTCCCCAACACTGCAGCCTTCTGCATTACCCAGAGTGTCAGAAGGGCTGTGCTCCCGGTGGAGAACCCGAGCACTCTCCTGATCTGCGCCAAGAGGTCAGGAGGCACCAAACCAAGGGCATCGAGAACAATGGGGAGCCTGGCGACAGTGCAAGCAAGCGAGACATTTCAAAGGCGAGGTCCGCATACTTATCATGCTTTTCCTGAATCTTGCCAATCACATTGCTATCAAAAGGGACAGAAAATTCAATGATATAAATAAATTCATTGGCTTTATCAAAAAGGGCAAGATCAGGTTTGTTGGCTGGAATTCCCCTCAGGCTGTATATGGGCCTATTCCAGAGAAGTTTAAAGCTGTCATTTTCCATGACGCCCTGGACATGTTCGGGGTCGTACCATGGATGGACCTCAGAGTCAAAGCCACAGGCAAGACGAAGATTATTATTATTATCATATGTCGAAAGGTCATTAGTTTTGCAAAGAAGTGGCGTTTACACTGTTTTGAAATCGGTTCCGTAAATATATAAGATTCACACATACATGCCTTTCAGGAGGACTGTTACATCTATACGTAAATAAATTCGTGTTCTGCGCACTATGGCCAATACAAATGCATATATTCTGAAATACTTTTTTCAGTACATATTCATGCAATCGTCTAGTCGAAGTTAAGGTCTCATGCATGGGGATTCACACGGGGTTGCATGAGTGGATGTCAGTAAACTGGGGATGGTTTTGAACGCTTTTAGAGGTTTATTACTGGTACATGTGGTATTTGGTCTGTCGGCAGCAAACAAAGATTATTAGGCTACCCCACCGCCCCTGTGGTATTTGGTCAGCTCTTAAAATCGCTTTTGTTTAACCTTATATGAGGCCAGGGTTTGATGGAATCAAGATGGACGCACCGTGGGTATGCCGCAGCCATTTAATGTTCATCGGACCACAATATCCTTACTTTAGAGGCGTTATCTACAGCAGGGTCTGAGTGTTGACTCGACACGGGCCGGTGATCCACGTGAGACGTCATGTCAGCAACACATGGATCTTCTACGGAATCAACACCAAACTGCCATATTAAAAGCTCGGACAATTGCTGGATTGAGACCAATCGTTGCTGAACCGTGTATGAACTTTTAAGGGAGATCGAACAACATCCGTTCATCGATACGTCTAGTTCTGATTCCACGTGACCGTCATACCTAGATTGGTTTAGACAGCATTTTAGGTTACGAAGATTAGACTGGTTCATCATTCTTTTAACACATTAGTCCAAGTTTAATCTGGGCAGGACCCGTGAAGATCCGGGTTAGAATTGATCTTCAGCGACCCATGCTAGTCGTAAGAGGCGACTAACGGGATCGGGTGGTCAGGCTCGCTGACTTGGTTGACACATGTCATAATATCCCAAATGCGTAGATCGATGCTCATGCTGTTGATCACTGGATTGTCTGGTCCAGACTCTATTATTTAGGGACTGCCGCCATATAGCTGGAATATTGCTGAGTGTGGCGTTAAACAACCAACCAGCCAACCAACCAACCAACCAATCATCTGGACACCTCTGATGATATTGCAAGGTTCTACCAAAGTCGAGGCGAACGTTTATCTTTGCGTTGCCTAGTGGTTAAAGCGTTCGCTCATCACGCCGAAGACCTGGGATCGATTCCCCACATGGGTACATTGTGTGAAGCCCATTACTGGTGTCCCCCGCTGTGATGTTGCTGGAATATTGCTAAAAGCGGCGTGAAACCATTCTCATTCGTTCACTCACTCTATTTGTCCGATCACTGGTTGACGTTCGGAACAAATTCATCTTCTGGTATTTTCGATACTCGGTCGCCGCCTCGCCTATTTCAAACATTTTGTCCTGGACTTTGTTACAAATCTTATGCTGTTGCTAGCTATTTGATATTTATACCCATTTATATGAAGCACTGCTTGTCGTTGAGGTAAAATGCTATAGTCTTAAAACGCAATTTTATTTATGTGCTATTTGATATTATCAGCATCAGCGAAAA